ATTTATCATAGCAGCGCTCGCGTGTGGGCAAGAGGTTTGCGTGCTCGCAAGCCTGCGTTCCCCGTCCCGTCTCCCTCTCGACTCTCGAACTTCCCAGGCGATTTCGCCAGCTCATTTCTTCTGGCTTTTCCCAGGTTCATTATGGTATTTACCCGATGGGGGTTATATTTATGGTAATTCCCAAGCTGCTTATTCCGCGAGTCTGAACAATTAGGGCTGCTTAGTTTTCCAGCTGCTGCCGAAACCCATGATCTCCCCCTGGCTCGTTCTCGCTCCTCCACTGAGCAGAGCCCTGAGTACACAACACTCATATCGTGTTTTATAGCCCCTCGAGGACCAGACGAGCTCGACTCGGCTCTCGAAGGGCTGCCGAATCATATTCCATAGTAGCTAAGTGAAGTTGCGCCCTTGGTGTTCGAGGCATCGGATCATCGAGTTACTCAGCGGCCGTCTGAGCGATCGTCGGTCGGTCGCTCGCTCATTCGCTAGCTTACTCAGATCGCGAACAAAATAGAAACCACCGAGTTCCCTCGAGCGCACCTTACAGCACAGGTGCCTGAACTGTTCAGCAAGCAGTCCATCCAGCCACTCCTGTAGCGCCTCCGCAGCGGGGAAGCTCGACTGACTGACTGACCGACCGACCGACCGAACGATCTACTAGCTGTCTGTTTCCTTGAGCAGCCGAAACAACGAGAGAAATGAGTCAGAGACGGGGAACCGCCCGTCCGCCCGCCCGCCTGGTCGAGATAGAGATTCATCAGGATGTGGCGCGCCGCCACCACCGTTGTCGTATGGTGGAACTGTTAGACGAGCGACCATGAGACGGGGGAGATGGTGGAAAGAAGCGGCGCAGACTCGGAGAATGAACCTGTCCGAAAGAATCGCCATGCCCGATAGAGCTTCTCCTACCGCCACCACCACCCCCTACCGCCGGCTGCTGCTGCTAAATGAACCGTGGCCTATGATGCTCGGTGTGGGGTATTTACTTCGAGCTACGCGGGGGAAATCACATTTCTATCATGAACGAACACCTGAAGTCGCGCTGTATGCCTAAAACCCAAATCAAGCCAAGGAGGTGACTTCCCTTTTGACCGAAAACCATTTGACCGAATCCGATCGACCGAATCCGATTGACCGAATCCGATTGACCGAATCCGATTGACCGAATCCGATTGGCCGAAGCCGTTTGACCGAAGCCGATTGACCGAATCCGGTGGGCTCCACCCATCGCGATGGAAGTTCGGCGCGTACGGATTCTCAAATTCATGTCGGAGCTGTCTTGACCTAGCCTCTCCTCCTGGAGACCCCGTGTCTGTCATCCAATCGGACTCTGATATTGCACGTCCCACATCTTTGTCGCGAACAGGCGCACGCGAACAGTATCCGAAGGCACATACACACCAAGAATTACGAACAATAACATTGAGGAAGGAAAACTCTTTTCCCTGACGACAATCGAACGCTATCTACTCCTGAAGTTATCATGGAAGTTCAACTAGTACCGTCGTCGCGAGGGAAAAATTTGTATAGCATCAATAACTACCTATATTCCGTCGAAAAAAAAGTGTCGATTCCTTGTATTGTCGATGAATCCAGAAAAAGGAGCACGGTTGTTCAGGGAGGGCGATAGTATCCAAGGTAGGCAGTTCGAAACAGTGAATTCGCTGAGCTATACCGCCGGTATCACTGGTGTTGAGTCAGATTTTTCTATCGCTGACGTTTGTGCTCACTATCTTCCGAAGGGACCCGAGCCAATAGTCCAACGAACTTCCGGGTTCCATTGCCATGAGCCGGAGACCGGTGAGATCATCAAGAAAACCGCGATCGAGGAGATGAAGCAGCGCGTGATCGCTGAACCGCTGAGAAGCGGAAAGCAGGTGTACACGGAGGTGACGACTTCTGCGGCATCTATTCTGATGGAATCCCACCCTGAAGAGGAGGTCGGTGCCTCGTTGCCTTCATTCTCGAGCGTGTCGACCACGCTTTACCGTGCACGGGCGAGCGTGCGTCCGCCGCTGCCAGCGTCTCGAGCAGAAATAACACTAGGAGAATCGTGGACAAAAACGGTCGACGGACAAGATTTTCTCGTCATCAATGATGGGGAGGAAAGTCGAATTCTCGGCTTCACTACGGTCCAGCTCGTGATGGAGCTCTGTTCGGCGCCGACAGTTTTCATGGACGGCACTTTCCGTGTCGTTCCCAAGCTCTTTCTCCAGCTCTATACGCTGCATGCGTTCTATAGGGGAGAAATGATCCCCATGGCTTATTTTCTCCTACCGGACAAACGACGGGAAACATATAACCGAATGTTCGCCTTGCTTGTGGGCTACGCTCAATCAATCGGCGTGACTTTCAATCCGCAGCGCTTCAACTGGACTTCGAAGTCTCCATGCTGAAATCGATCGAAGGACTTCCCCATGGCAGAGTTAAAGGGTGCGCATTTCATTTCGCTCAATGCCTTTGGCGCAAAGTGCAAGACTTGGGAATTCGACAGTATTACGATGAACCCATTGTAAAAAAGTTCGTCAGATGCGTCGGTGCCCTCGCTCATGTTCCTCTGTCGCAGATCGACAATGCATGGCTGGAAATTGAGGCAGAGTCGCCCTCCACAGACCATCCAGCTCACTCGGCTCTTGAGAGGTTCAAAACGTATTTCATCAGCACTTGGCTTGAGAATGGAGCAGTATTCCCGCGTAGACTCTGGAACCATTACCGCAATTTCGGAGCTCGCACGACAAACCACCTCGAAGGGTGGCACCAAGCTCTGAATCGAGGCCTCGGTCGTTCGCACGTGAACGTCTTCGAGATGATCAGTCATCTTCAAAAGCTTGAAAAAAGTTTCAAGACACAGATGCTACTCCTCAGCACGGGTCGGAAGCCTAAGGACGCCGAAAAAAAAATACGTCAGAGTCAATCAAACGCTCATGAATCTGGTAAATCAGTACGAATCGAACCAGATACCCCTCATCGAATACGTACAAAACGTTGGTTTCAATCTCAAAAATTAGTATAGTTGCGGTGCGAAGATCGCAAATGATAGGTGTCAAGTCCGATACTTACATGTTCGCGTCAACTTCTCTCTATTGTGGTATAACTTAAGAAGCTCGCCTCTATCCTCGAGAACGACCGGAATCTAGGCATAATCTCCGGGTTGCACATGAATAAACTAATAATGTGAGCGAGTCAGTTCCGCGATCTGTTTCAGCTGAGGGAGGAGCTTGATTCGGTCAATCGGCTTCGGTCAAACGGCTTCGGCCAATCGGATTCGGTCAATCGGATTCGGTCAATCGGATTCGGTCAATCGGTTTCGGTCGATCGGATTCGGTCAGATGGTTTTCGGTCAAAAGGACGGTAACCGCCAAGGACCGGCTTGCGACTCCTCTCCACAATGGAACAGGATCGCTTCGAAAATTCGTCGCTCGGAACGACCGGCTCACAGATCTCCTCTGACGTGGGAAATTCGTACTTCATATGAAACATTCTCAACCACAGGATCCTTCCACTTCGATTCGTGATCTCGGTAATGAGCCTTTGCTCTATCGGAATCAGGTAGACGTCAAGAAGACATACACAATGCGGAGAAAGGAAGGACGGCCTCTAACCGTGGAAAGTGGGATTGTGTTCGCCGCTGGTGACACCGGAGGCTAATAGGATCCGTGGTCACACCGTCCCCCGTGACGCTCCGCTTCCCCGAGTCTCGGAACCTGCGCGGATTTGTGACTAGGTGTCTCTAATTGACTTCGGCTCTTTTCGTTGAAAAAACAGTCGAACGGCTACTGGGATCTCCGAGAACGATCCGAAAGACTCGGGTCGTTCAGTTGACTCTGGGAAGGTGTTCTACGATGGGGATTCCGAAAGGAAGAGAGCGAGATCGAATTTCAAGCTCGGGAAAGAAGACGGCGACGAGTCAGAGAGTATCAACCACCGACTAGGTTTCTTTGTTCTATCTATTCAGATTTGAAAACTTTGACCGGGCTGAGGAGTCGGCTAAAATATCCCACGAACCCGGCCGGCAGCGCGAATATTAAACACGCCGAACTTCCATCAAAATCCTGGAGACACTCAAAGAAGCACTCCTTTTTGTTGAAGAGAAATTCTGCGGGCAAGAGCGACGAATCTCATCAGACGAGCTTATCGAGCCCCTCCTCTTTCATATAGAGCTCCGCATACCAGGATAGTTCCGGGGAAGTTCCTCCAGCCGAACATCGGCGAAGCGTTGATCTTCCGAGAAAGAACAAAAACTACTATTCTAATATTTGTTCCCACGACCAAGTCCTCTCGCGCCTAAATCTAATTTAGTCTGCGACGGAATAGAAAAGCGATGTATCGAAGCGTAGTAGTGTTGAACATCCTTCTCGTAGGCAGAAGCGACGACGACGCCGGCAGGAACCACTGATGGCCTGTCCTGTCAGCGTCCCGACCGAGGAGCGTTTAGTGCTTTTTCGAGGGGAAATGTCAGTCAGTCAGCGTAAACGAGAGGCATCCATGTCAACATCGCCGTGGCCTCTGTCTATCTATATAGCGCTCCTTTTCTATCTACATACATATCTATCTATCTCTCTCTCTCTCGTTCACCAGCTCGCTCGGTCTGTTCTGCCGGCTAGTTCACTCAGCGAGCCGATCTCCGAGAGCACATGTTAAGTCTGGGAAAAGTGGCCCCTTCTCTCGCGGTTGTCATGCTGATGATACCTTCATCAAGCTATGTTTAGCAATATTCGGCAATGGGAGCGAGAAGAAGAAGGTAAGCCCCCTCGGCGGCGTTCTCGTCAGCTGAATCGCCGTCGCTGGCCAAGGCCGTTGACGCCGTTCCCCGAGAAGGCGCTCTCTGAATGGTTCGCCGTTTTTCCGCCGAAACCCACGGAACCGAAGATGAGGGATGAGAAGTTCGAGTGGAACAGCGTAATATCATACAAGATGGGCCCTTGAGAAACCATGAAATACCCAAGAAGTACTCGCTGCCACAGCTTCATACTGGAGTAACAGTTTATTCTTAGCATCTTGTAGCCTCTGCAATAACATTATATTATCAGCGCGTCTAAAAGTGCTCGTCTCTCGACAGAATTCGTCGTCAGCCAAAATCACAGAGATCATCACTGGGTATTTCCGAGTACCAAAACTCAATCATCAGGACTGCGCGGGTCCATGACGAAGACAACTTAAATCCACGACGCGAATCTGAACATCGACGAGATGATCGGTTTTTCAACATTCTGGGCGCTTTGGCGTTCCGAATATGCCGACAAGCCCGTCGAGCATCAAACCCGACTCTCACATCTGAATTTCATATAATACCGCGGCTCAGCGACATTTTCGGAATTTTCCGCGGCCCTACGCACCCTTCTCCTTCAATACTTTAGTTTCGATGCTTCTCGACGCTCTCTTCCCGCATCTTTCGTAGATCCGGAAAAACTTTACATGCGTATGTACAAAATTACAGTTCAACGTCAGGGTTCTCCGGGTAGGCCCGCGAGAGACCCGATAAGCCGTTAGCGCCTTCCGGCGGCGCCGTCGGGCGAAAGTTCCAGTCCACCGGGACGTCTGACCCACTAACTAACTAACTAACTAAGTATAGGCGCGATCCCTTTCAGACGTAAATGAGACTTTGATACGCCTGCTGCTGCTGCTGTTGGTGCTGTCTGTCAATAGTTTCGTAGCCGGGGTCCGTCGTCGTCGACGTCGATGACGACGTGCCCGAGTTGGGTCGAGAATTACAGGAGAGCGTCTGGTACGCTCGGTTGCTCGTCGGTTCCACTATGGGCCGAGCGACACTATTCAAGCTCATTAAGTAACTTTGCAGAGCGTTGGGACTGAGCGTCGTATACGACGACGGATCGAGCATGGCGTTGGGGGCGAACGCCTGGCCCGATATCGGCCGTCCCAACGTCGTGTACGGTTGAATGATATACGGGTACTTGTGGTTATCGTACGAGGCATAGTTGACCGGAGACGAGTCGAGGTCCTTAATGATCGTTCCGACCCTTGCGTCGGTGATACGTCGACGCCAAGCTAGGAACAGGATCATACCGACCAGACAGAATACGAACACCGATGTCAACATGACAGCCAATATCCCGCGGCCCGATTCGCCTCGACACTCGAGCTGGCCATCGCTCAGGCTCTTGAGGAAATCACTCTCGAGATGCGAAGGCCCATTGCATCGGACGGCGGAGCTGTTGTGGTATTGGTGGGGTCTGTTCGCCATGTGCTGCCAGAGCCACGACAGCGAACAGTTGCAAACGAGAGGATTTCCCGAAACGTCGAACGACTCGAGCTGCTCGATCGGCAGCAGGGCCGGATGTATGTACTTTAGTTTGTTGCCCCGGAGGCTAACTTTCCGTAACTGTCGCAGGTGGTTGAGCAGAGACGCCGGCAAGTGCTCTAGCTGCATATTAAACTCCATCCAGAGCTCCTCGAGCTCGGGGGTGTGCCGGAAAACATCTTCCTCGATCCTTTCCAGGTTCTCGGATCGGGTCAGGTGTAGTTTCTTGAGCTTCTTCAGGTGTCTGAGGTCGTTGACTGAGATTTTCGGAATCAGATTGCCACCGATGTTCAGCTCGTCGAGCTCGCTCAACGAAGCGATCGCTCTCGGGAACACCAGCAGATTGTTGTTCTGGAGGTAGAGCTTCTTCAGTCCGGCAACGCCGGAGAACGCTTCCAAATGCACAACCGATAAAGCACATTGATCCATGGACAGCTCTTCCAAATGCTTCAGATGATCGAACGCGGCCTCGTCCACCATGGAGAGGACATTCGAGCCGAGGTCGAGCGATCTGAGGTTCGGTAGGTAGACGAAAGAATCACTTGGCACGTGGCGCAACGAGTTCGACCGGAGAACCAATCGCTCAAGACTGGTCAATCCGTGGAACGAGCCCGCGCCGATGGTTGAGATCTTGTTCTGGCTGAGATCGAGCACTTTGAGATTGTGCAACGGAGTGAACACATTGGACGGAAGCTCCGAAATGCTGTTCCTCTTCAGCGTCAGATGCGTCAGGCTCTGCGAATAAAGACGAAACTTAGTACCGAATTATGTCCCCGGGGAAATGTTCCCGAGACGTCCCTGACTTTCTTCGGAATATTGCTACGCGGCAGAATAATCACCTCAAGTCCCTCGAACGCGTCGCGTTCGACGATCGTGATCGAATTGTGGCTCAAGTCGAGCCGGCGGAGCTCCCTGAGCTCGAGGCCCCTAGAACCGAGTTTACTGACGAGATTGAAGCTGACATCGAGGGCTTCGAGATGCGCATAAACACCGAACGCAGAGTCGACGTTGGCGATGATGTTCCTGGGTATCGTAATTTGTTTCACCATGGGGTTCAACGTCAGCGGCACGACTTCGAAACCCGCGTCAGCGCAGTTCACCGTGAGCTCGGCATCGTTGCATTGACACCTCGCGGGACAGAATGCCGACCACCGAGCCGCAGGTACCGCCCAAATCGACTGAAAAGAGGAAAATACCAAAATCAGTTTTGCAGATTCACGGGACGGCTGAGATTTACTGACTAACTAACTGAGCGGGTCGGGAAATCTTCCCTCGTCATCATCAACAGCTCATGCATATCATTTTGAAGCAGTGGCAGTCGACGACGGCGCGTGACGAAGTGGCAGATGGTCACGGCTAGGCGGACTCCGAGGTGGAGCTTCGCATAATGTCGTCGTCGACAGTTCGTTATCTGCATGTCGCTAACGAAGCGACTGTACCAACGCCTCTAACGTCCTATGTGGAATTATTTCATCGACAGAGAATCCGAGCCCAAGCGGAACGTAGGTGAGAAGAAAACCTGGAGTGATGCTCCATCGGTACAATGCGATTGATAAGAATCGAACGATGACTAGACCCGTCGTAGGTGGAATCTGTCTGATAGATCGGTCTTTTCGAAACTTCAGACCAGTCATCCGGGAACGATATGGGAGATAGTTCCATCACTTGATCGAAGCTGTGCAAGTCGAAGTCTTCTCTCTTTCGAATGAGAGTGAATTCATCCGATCGGTGCATCTCGGAAACCCAACGGAAACTCACCGTAAGTAGGACACAGAAGCTGAGAGCGAACATGATTATTCCTTGAGATGCTAAATCGTTTCGGCTACTTCATCGAGCGGAATTTTTCGCCCGACTTGAAACGATCTCCTGCTCAGAAATTATCCGGAGTGTGTGGAATGCGGAGTCCCATGACACAAGAACTTAAATCCGAGGACTTCGAGGGACGGAGTGAACAAAGTGCAGACGCGGCGAAAATTTTCGTTGATTGAGAAACACTTTCGGATAAACTATTCGACATGATCCACAGAACACGCCACACGCGCGGCCTGTCGTTGACTTTGAACTGAGAGGCCGTTGGCGCGTTCTCTCTTTTTGGACGATCGACCCTTTCCGTGTGGGTGAGAGACTCTCGATTGAAGCGAACCACTCGCCGGAGAACCCCCGACGGACGTTGCACCCGACAACCCCGAGCTCTGAGCACCTAGTTCCAGTCACTCCTTTCGCGGTTCCCCATTCACTTGTCCGGAGGGAAGGACGTCTGTCCATCGTTCCGTTCGGCCGGCGGTCGTCAAGCGATATCGGTGATTCCCGATCGGCGAATCCCTTCCCGAACGCCCGGCCGCGCAGGGAGAGAATCGCTCCCGACTAGTTCCAATGCCTGGAAAATGGGATTATTCCCTGAACGACCCGGGTCTGCATTAAGAGGAAAAGAGACAAGAGAAGACTACATCTTCATCTGGTTTCGGTCATTCGAGTTCCGCGGGGAATCGCGTTATCGGATCCTGAGTTCGTGGAGCGATCTATTCCGAGACCTCCTCAGAGATTTGAGCTTTTGGTCTTGGAAACTAATAGACGGAGCCGGAGACCGAGCGCTCCATCGGCTAACTCAATTATGGAAAGAGGGAAAACCGTTTGAGAAACATGTCGCTGACCGATCGAGATTAGGCGTTCATTATTTATACGATTTCTCGGCCGCAGCTTTGGACGGAAATACTCATGATTTTTAAAAAAGAGGACATGGGAAGCCTCTGGTCATCAGAACGGAAATCCGATTACTTACGAATTGGTCAGTTTCCTGCTAAACCTTGATGGCCTCATCTCTCTTAGTTGATTTGTTGGTTAGTTGACAGTTCTGTCTCTAACTGAGGCTTGATCACGGCCATCTGAAAAACAAACCGAACGGGCGAAGCCTCAATTCAGGTGCAGGTCACGTCCGGGCTTTGTCTCTGGGCGTTTCTTCCTCTCCTCGTCTGGCTGCAAGTCTGCAGAGTGTCTTTCTCCTCTTTGCCCTCTGCACTTACAACGAGGTACGTAGAGAACGTTCCGCTCTTCCGTTTGGCAACATCCACCTGCGGAAGTTGTTTTCGATTCCCGAATGAGAATTCTCTACTTCTTCATCCGTCTGCGATCGACTTCTTTTTCCCCCTGGCTGAAGTCCCGTCGGGTTGCCATACCATCTCGAATAACAGAAGCTTCTGTGTGGCTCAAGGTTCTCGTGTTTCATTCGGCTTGAAGTCCAGGAGAAAAATGATCTTTCTGCCTCCTACAACTCATCGAGTTCTCAGTCCAGTTTATTTGTTCATTCGTTCATATTCGAGCACAGCTCGCGGGCTCGTGTGGGCTCGAGCCAAAGAAGCCTGTCGATGATAGATCAGCCGATAGTTCCCTCCGTGATGGAGTGTGGGCTCTTTCAATTTTCCCGAGTTTTTCCCGCGTCTCCAAGAGTGTGCTGGAGTGCTCGCTTGTATCCGAGCATGCATGTATGGGGCTCTGCGATCGACTCTCGCGATTCATGCGTTGAACCATCGAGCCTCGGAGTGACTACGATGGATACGGCATACGCGGTAGACCATGCAAATATATGTAAATAAAGCGGTACCGCTAATTCTGCTCCTAACCCATCATTCGATACCGCGTTTGGTATGCATTGGAGCATCATCGTTGGGCCGGTATACGATCCGCATGAGAATCCGATTTTCTCAAATGAATCGGTCTCGTCGCGACGGCGAACGTCATTACGGAACTTTGAAGCAAGGAGCACAATCTCGCTCTATTCGTGGTCGACGTACCGGAGATTTCATGTTGGAGATTCGAAACCGCGGAGCTTCGAACACGGATCAAAAGTTCCGATTCTCGGGCTCTCGCGGGAATACCGCGGGGAAACACTAACTGCGGGCTGTAGCCTCTGCGAAAAATTCATCGGTACGAGTTCTTTGTGGCTCTCGCGGGATTTCTTGGGCGCATCCATTCGAATATTTGTTCCGTCTGCGTGATCATGATGAAAATCGTTGACATTGAAATTTCGATAGCTGCGTCACGATGCGACAGTGATCGATCTCTCCCGGACAAGATCTCTCCGGATCAAATGATCGGCAATCGAATCAACGGAGTTGAGAATTATTGTTTTGCCAAAAGCTAAATAATTGATATCGGGAAACTTCCCAGACGGGCTCCTGATGTTCGCGTTTGTCTTCCTCTGCTTCTTCGCATCTGCTTCAACGGGTGCATCGATTTGTCCAGGTGTCGACGTGCGCTCGGAAGATATACGCAGCATGAGGAGTTCGTATCGTTCAATAACTCACTTGAAGGGTTGCTCGATCGCTTTCAGTTGCCGCCGATGCGGAAAACGCTGCTTCCATACCGATGAAAAGGTCGAAATATATTTTCTGACCTCTCGAAGGAGCCGTACTATTTATGGCGCTTCAATTCAGTCACGAAATCGTCCCGCATCGATGTCTCTGTCTGAACTCACAACCGGTTGAGAGCCGTGTCCAGACATAAGCTGGTCCCAGGATACAGAACAGAGGACTCGGTCCCCTCTCGGGCGCTGCACATATCTGGGGTGACGTCGCCGTCCCTCTTTTTCCCTTTTACAGCTCCATTCATTTTGACGCAGTTGTCGTCATCGTCGTCGTTATAAACGATCCGAATGGCTGAAAGCCTTCTCTGCCCACCCCCCCCCCACCCCGTCATGTCGGAGTCCGTTTTTTCTCGTCCCGTGGCGCGACGACGCAATTGTTTTTGCCTCGGTCCCTCCTCTCGCGAGGCTAAATGAGTTGTCTGACTCCCCATTTTGTCTGTTGTCGTTCGACTTGTGGCCGACGCTGGGCCGTCGTCGTCGGGCATGCCGCTCATGAGGTCGATGCGTCCGTTCTCTGGTGTGTCTTCGATCGCGAAACACAAATTATGAGCCCCACTCTCAGACACAGGTTCATTTCGACGCCCCCGCTGCTAGACGGTTCGCAGAAAGTCTCCCGCGGTCACTGCATCCCTCGGTCGTCGGTCTTCCTACTCTTATTTTGTTAGCTGCTTTCTCTACGACGCTGCATGGTGAACGCGCGAGCGATGATAGATGAAAAGATAAATTGATTAGGGGCAGGACTCCTTTTCCAGAAACTTCATGAGAGTCCCGCCTTTGACCGTACGGAGTGAGTGGCTTTCGGAGTTGCTTCAAACTTCATTCATCTTCGGAGCAAACCTCTCTCTGTGCTGAGCAAACCTGCCGAGCCACCGCTCAGCCTCGTTATCGATCTCTGATGCATGAGACGCTGGCTGAACTTTCGGCGGAACACATGCTGTAGCCGCGGAACTCTCGCTGCGAGCGAGCTTCCCGCGGAAGTTTCAATAGCAGTCGATCGGCTTCCGATAGTTCAGCTAATCCACTCTTGTTCCATGTCTTTCGAAGCTATGGCTCAACCCTCAGAGCGGAAAGCCTCTGCTGCCGAAGGGAACTCATGGATAAGGTTCCTCGTCTCGAGGCGGGTGCGATGACGTAACAACCCCCTTGACCCTATGCAAGAACAGAACGTGGTTGCGATATAGACGAGTCTATCCCCGAGAAGTCTTTCTGAATACATGTGCAATGAATGTACCTAACGTTTGTAGAATCTGAGTTCTCTCTTCAGAGAAGTCGGTCGAGGGAAATCGATCATTGGGACATTGAGACCTCAGGACTTTCAGGAGGCGCCTATAAAGTCCGTCCGAACATTCGGGGCTGAGGGCTAGATATGCGTCTACATCGCGATACACTTCCTCGTCTGCTCCTCCAAGAGTTCAAAAAAAATCGGAGACGTGAAACCGAAACCTATGTATGAGATAGGCGGCTCATCATCCAGCTCTCTCTACTCCGAAAGTTTTCGATGACAACCGCCGATTTAAAGATCGCCTCGATGACGCTTCCGAGACTTGACGAGACAGTGAACACACGACGCCCTTTTTGCTCAATATGGATTAGCTGACTGATCCTGGGAAGTTCTTCCAATATATGTAAGCTTCAACAATTGGAGCAACCTCAGCCTACCTGTCGATAACGGGAGGCATCAGTCTTGGAGAGGCTCTTCCAGCATTCGATCGATATTCCCCTTTTCCCACTCGAGTGCTGAATCTTCGATAGTAGGTCGAAATCAGACGCGAAACGACAGATTCAATGTGCTCCGAATTGATGTCCTGACATGGGTCCCATTGGAACTCGAACACCGATCTCTTGATCGGTTGGAGCGGCAGCGCAAGCGAGGGAAAAATCGAATCTCCTTCCTTGGAAGAAAGCATTGCGAATCGGAGCTGTCGAGGAAAAGTCAGGGACAGGCCGTCAGCTGTTTGATGGCGGATTCTTCGTTCGAAAGAAGACTTCATCGATAAGCAGACGCTCTTTTTCTCAGGAGGTTCTCTAGATGCATCCCGGGACGTGTGACGTCTTTGTCGGAAGGGAATGCTTTGTCCCTTCCATTACCTTGAAATATGAGACTAATTGGAAATCTCGATGACTCGAGGAACCGGGGAAGGATTCGGATTTCAAAGCCCATGTTTTACGCGCCGCTGCTGAAACCCAAAACTGAGTATGCCCTTGAGTCATGCATCTCGATGCGCTCTCGCGCTGCCGGATCAAGAACTCGCACCTCGAGGCTGGAGTGTCGTCGTCTGGAAGCTCATTTCCAGCGTGCCCCAGGACAAAGACAGGCTTCTTGAATAATAGATTGCAGGCGCGCAGTGTTGGAATAAGCGGTCGAGCAACCTGTCCGCTGTCCCTCGGCACATGTTCCAGCAGATGTTTCATTTTAATATTAGACGTCCGCGAGTTCCCCGGTGGAGGAACTCGCTCTTATCTCAGAGCCCTACGGCTTTGCGGGCTTCCGAACCGAGGTAGGATGGGGAGGAGAGGCGTGGAAACGAGTAGGCCCGAGGCATCAAAATTTTCGCCAAAGTGAGCTCGAGTCCCAGAACCGATCTCTGAAATGAGGGCGAACCGCGTCCTGAAAAATTGGTGGAAGGAAAGGAAGCGACTGCACTGCCCCTTGCGGGAGAAGCACACGCGAACGTATTTTTCCCGCGTCAGGCAACGGTGGTGG